CGTCCAGCCCCCGCTACTGCTGATGTCCCCCCCCACCACGACGGGGCATGGACTCGTCCGATGCCAGGGAGTCCCCGGGTGGGGGGACAAGGGACCCCCTGAGACCCCTTGGGACCCCCTGGGACCCCGGCAGGGAGGACAAGGGACCCCCTGGGACCCCGGCAGGGGTGACAAGGGACCCCCTGGGACCTCCTGGGACCCCCTGGGACCCCGGGCAGGGGTGACAAGGGACCCCCTGGGACCCACTGGGACGCCGGGAAGGGGTGACACGGAGTCCCGTGGAACCCCCTGAAACCCTTGGGGAGGGATGACACGGAGCCCCCCGAGAAGTGGTGACACAGAGCCCCTAGGAGCAGGGGGACACCCCTGACATCCCATCCAGAACCTCGAGGGATGGTGTGTCCTGGAGCTCCATGCTCCAGGAGTGATGTACCCTGGTGTCCCCAAAGTATTGCCCCCCAAACACCCTGCAGCACACAGACATATCCTGGCTCCCCATGTCCCCCCAAGCATTGCACCCCTCCCCGACTGTAATTCTCTACCCCAATTGCCCCAAAACCACCCGTCTGGGGTGTCACCTTTTCTTGTCATTCCCAAAAAATAACCCCCCTTTCCAACCAGCACCTCTCTGTGCCTGCTGTGTCCTAGTACCAGTACAAACATCTTTACAGACACCCTTTATTCTCTTTACACCAGAAATTCAGGGAGTTTTGCCTCCTCTACCTTACCCTGCTCAGCCCAGAGATTCCAGCCTTGTCTGGCCTCTGACACCCTTTCCCAGTTTTTTCCTATTTTACTGGTGTGTCACCATTGCCAAAAAATCTGAGCCAGCACCCCCAGCTTCCAGGGAGCAGGAGCAGGGATTTTGGGTCCTGCACAGAAAACCTCCAGGGATCTATAAAGGACTGAGGTCATCATAACATGGGGAAGGATCTGGAGCCAGGCTTTAATGAACCGTGAGGGGCACATGGCTGGAAACCCATTAATCACACATCCCTCAGCTGAGGGGAGCACATCCTGCTCCTCCTGCATCCTTCTGCCTCACCATCCAACCCCAGGGCAAGGAAGAGCTGCCCCATGGCATGACAAGAGTTTGAGTAAACATTAAGGAAAACTGAATTTCCTGTGGAGGCTCTCGTTCCTCCCCACCAGAACATTAATCCTCATCCCCCAGTGCTAATCTGTGACGAGCTCCCTGCATCGTGTCCATCCCCGTTAATCACCCCAGCTCCTCATCCCCGGTGGAGAGTGGGATAAGACCCCTTGTCTGCATCTTATTTTAATTACACCAGTATCTGCCAAGAGCAGCATAAAGCTCAAAATCTGCAGCTTTGGGGTGTGATGGAGACACGGGGCTGCTTGGAACAAGCTCCTTTTCCCTTCCCAAAGAGCCCCAGCGCTCAGGGGCTCTCACTCCCACCTCGCTTTTAACCTGGTGCAGGTGAGAACATGTTCCAAAGTGTTCTTCCCTTTTTTCCCCAAAAAACAAATCGGACTTTGCTCGCTGCCACAGAGCAAAGACAAGATAAATAAATATGCTGGGCCATGGCCCAGCTGCCCTGCAGCCACTGGGAAGCATTTTAGCTGACCTTGATAAAGTTCTGATGGTTCCATGTACGGACACGTCTCCACGGCACGCGTTGCGCTGACAAGGAGTTGGCACCATCCCAACCCCAAGATCTTCCTGTTTTTTGAGCCCCTGGACATGCTTTGAGCTTGCTAAGGCAGCATCAGCAATGGGAACTGAAGGTCTGGAAGGAAAAGTGGATAGGATTGCTAAAAATCCCTGGCTTCACTGTAGAAGGCTCCTAAAATGCATTCCTCCTGCTTTCCTTGTCATTTACTGAGTGAGACAGTCTCCTGCAGAGCTGCTGCTCATTGTCCTATCCCAGTCCATGAACCACCAGCTTCCAAAAGGCTTTCCCAAGCCCTCTCTTCTTCCAACACTCACCTAAGGAAGGAGACATGTCCTGACAGTGTATCCTTTCCCTGCAACCGGCACCATCCTGAACATCTGTGTTGGCTCCTTCCATCTCTCTTCCATCTCCTCTTCATCTCCATGAGCCTGCCCAGGGACTCCAAAGCCCCAGGAACACAGCAAGGCTATGGTGGGAGAGGAGAGGGAAAAGAGATCTTCCCAGGATGGGATTTAGACACATTTTGCCCCCAAGACTCTTTCAGCCAACAAGGGGAGACATTTCACCCCACTGGTGCATCGCACCAGGCAGTGACCTGCAGCCTTGTATTTCCCTTGGGATGAAAGATCAGGTCAACAACCTGGAAAACACCCAACAGAGAGGTCAGGCTTCCTGGAGAAGGAGTGATGTGGAAGGGGAAAGAACGTGACATCAGCTATTGTTCCTGCTCTCCAGCTTCCTGAGCTTCGCTCTCCCACTATTGTTGCATGTTTTGAGGGCTGCAAAAGCTGAATGAAATCCACAACAATTCCCAAAGAGAGGAAGAGGGGAGCAGAGTGGTTTGGAAAGAAGGGGAAAGCTGCTGCTGATGTTTCTTGGTGGGTCCTTCTGACCTAGATCTTATTCAGAGGCAAACACCTGATCTGGGCTGAGTCTGCTCCTGTGACCTGTGTTCCTCGCTGTGTTTTCAGCTTGGGTACCTCAGTGTTGGCATCTGCCCATGGAAACAGCTGCCTTCACACCCTTGTCCCTGGACACCTGTTTATTTTAAGCAAATCCCTGATGGAGAAAACAATGTTGTACACACAGAGAGGCCAAAATTAGCTGTTCACCCTGTGGAGAGGTCCTTTATTCGCCCATCCATGAGGAATGCCTAAACTTCCCACCCTGGGCTGATGGTTGCTCAGTGAGGCTGGAGGGTGAATTTTATTTAAAAATTGGTGGGTACATCCCATGCTACTGGGACCTGCACAACCCCTCCCCACGGAAAACACTGGCTGCTGGGCATGTGGGCTCTGGGATGGCTTTGACATCCTGGTGCACACCAAGGAACCATCCATGAGCCATGCTGCAGGACTTCCCGGGATGGTGGAACCCCAGGAAGACCTGTCTCCATCCCTGGGCATTCAACTGGGCAAAGGCAACCCCAGAAATAAACCCAGAGCCAGCAGCTCCAAATAAAACCAAACAGAAAAGCTTTATGACTCACAAATCCCGCTTTCAGCATCCTAAGAGCCAAGGATCCATCCTTTAGGGCTTTCAATTTGCTTTTCCCTTATCCCTCCGTAGCATCAAGGAGCTATTTTCCTACTGTAACAGCACTTTTAAGGAAATAATTCTGATTTCTCGGAGAGAAAACATGAATTATGCTGTGCTTGCATGGTTATAAACAAGGTAGTCCCTTGCTGTGCCTCAAAATAATTGTTTTTCTTTCTTTTTACTCAGATTTATGGGATCCTGTTGTATTTATGGGGATCCCATTAATATTTCAGAGGAGTCCACCCTCCAGGCAATGGATGTTCATCCAGAGAATGAATTTGCTGCCTACAGAGCTCATACTGAAAAATTTATGACTAGCATGAGAAAGGGATAAAATGAGACCCTTTGAAAAGTTTCCCACTTTCACCTGGGGAGGGAAAATTAAGTAATAAATGATGATGGCAATAAAAAGCTTTCTACTCCATCTATCCAAGTTCTTCAGGCTAGAAGATCTTCATTCTTTTCTAGTGCTATTTTAGGAGGAGAGATATTAAAATTTCCTCTGCTCTGAAATTATTGTTTTATTCTTACCGCAAAAAAAGCAGCCCCCAGGTCAAAGAAAATAAAAGGGTGAGTTACTTCAACAAGCTGAGATCTGCTTGTTTATACCACCCTGAATCTGGCACCACACACCCATCAAACACAGGGTGGAGATGCAGGAGGCGATGGAGACACAACACACCGAGATCCTGCAAGCACAGGAAACGTGTCAAAAAATAGCAGTGCTGACCCTGAGTTACCCAGAATTGTTTTGTTATAGCCACTGCTCTTTGTAAATGAAGAGTTTGGCTAAGAAATAGAGGGAGCTGAGGGTGACCAGGAGGTGGAAAGGATTTTTTAGATGTATCTTTTGCGAACTGGTTCTGTGAAAGGAGGGAATTTGGTGCTGGTGGTGGAACTTCACTGCTGAAGTTCCTTTTGGCCTTTCCAACAGTGGGTGGAGCAAAGGGATGGTTGCTGTCTGATGGGGGAACAAACCGCTCTCCCTGAGAATAATTTATTGTCATGGCTTCCTCATTTCAACATGTTTTGGGACATCTCCAGGTGCTATAGGATCGTGGAATAACTTGGGTTGGAAGGGACTTGAAGTCTTGTCTTGTTTGGCCAAATCAGATTTACCAGCATGGGATTTGGTCTGCAAAAAATCAGGATATTGCTGTCTGGAGTGGTGTTCTGGTATCTCTTCCCTGACACCCTGGATGCTCTGGAAAGGTTCTTCAAAAGAAGGAACAGCTTGGATATGGCTTAGGATCAGAGGGAAATTCAGGTTGGAAGGGACCTCAGGACATCCTTACTCCAACCTCCTGCTCAAAGCAAGGTCACCCATGAGGTCAGACCAGGTTGCTCTGGGCTGTCTTCAGTTTGCTCCTGAAAACATCCAAGGATGGAGACACTGAAACCTCCCTGGGAACCTCCCTGGTACCCCAAACCTCGAAGATATCCCTTGAATCTGGTCCTCTCCCACTGCCAGCCCACAGCCTTCACCTACCCACCCTCAGCA